GGAAGGGCTGAAACGGACATGCCAGGCTGATTGTTGCCAGGCTGATTGTTGTCGTTCTCTTGCCCTTGGCTGGGGAAGTGGGTGTTTTGGGCAGGACGGGAAAGGAGTTAATGTCATCTTGCTGAAAGATGTTTATAGATGCACTGATAAGAGTTTCGTGCTCAGTCACTGAGTTCAAGCTTGCATCAGGTCATTAGCGCATCAAGCTTAAACTTCTTGACTACGGAGCGTGTTGTAGAAATTGCTGTTTTGTTTGTGTTCTTGCCCTCTACAGTTTTAAGACTTTACACCATCTGAAAGGTTTCGAGTGGTTCTTAAATGGCTCTTGGCAGCAACTTTGGTTCAGTAAAGAAGTTTTAGTTTGCCATGTAGTTCTTTTGGGAGATTTTAAATTGTTCTGAATGTTAAGCTCATGCATGTGTTTGTTTTGGGTTTTATACAGAATATAAATGTATTTAGAAATATAACGTAGTTTAATAGAAAACAAGGAGTATTTGATAAGAAACTGTCAAATAATTCATAAATTTTAAAAGCATATATGATTAGGCTTATATTATAGAATATAATTTATTTAGATTTTTCCCCTTTATGTAAAAATATATGCAACATTAAAGTAGTAGTGTTTTTTTATGTGTATATGTATGTGTATATAAAACTAAAGGTAGTTTAATTACAATATAGAATATAAACTTAATGTAAATTTCTTTATATAAAACTATGCAAATAAATAGTAATGCAGTGTTTTATATACATGTTCTATTAAATTACTGTAAATTAAAATGATTTTATTACTAGTTGTCCATTTACGTGTCATGTTGGTCAAGGAGAAGCGTTTGAAATATCAAACATCTCGTTGTAATTTCTTGTCTGTAGATGCGCTGGTACCCTTCTCCCTCTGAAAGTTCTCAACCGGGGTGGAAGTCACGGCAGTTCTGTTAAATAATCAGTGAGTATCGCTCTCTTCACCTCCTGCATATGATCACTAGTCTCTGATCGTAGATGACTAAGCTGATGGGCTGTTCTCGTTTCCACAGATGCCGTTCCGTACCAGACGTTTTGTTTTTGTTTCTCCCTCCTGTTTAAATGAAGGACAACTGGGCTCCGCATTTAATTTAATCAGGTTTATTTAATGGACAATCTAAGCATGAAGGATTGTTTTCCTGGAGGAAGTCTTCTACAAAGCACTCTGAGATGCTGAGGACTCTGACAAACCTCACGGTACTGTCTCCATTTCAAAAGCCACGCTTGACGAGCCAATCGTTCAACATGTCTAGCTGCTCTGGTAGATGTATGTTTTTGAGGTCGTCATTCTGCATGCAATAAGGCATGAGTTTTAGAATTCAAACTTTTTTTTTTCTATTCCGTCCCAGCTAACCCAGAATTTTTTTCAGTCTCTTGTTCTTGCAGTTTCTTTCATTGTGTGAGAGATGGAGACCTGAAGGTTTTTTTTCTTTTTATAAAGTCCAGTCTCTGTGTACTTTTGTTTTCTATTTTTAAGAACTGATGACATATGCACTGGGTATTTGTTTGTTTGTGATCTTGACGTGAACAGAGCAGATTTGAGTTCTTGTCTCCTCCAGACCTTCGATGTATCTTCCTGTGCCCTGAAATCACCAAACCTCCACTATCTGTGTCTGCTTGGAGAATATTTGAACAAAAAAAAAAGAAGAAATGTACTAGTATTTTTGTACATTTGTGTAATGAATATTTATGCATTTGTTTTGTGCAATTAAATAAGTAATATGTATGAGCAGTTTAGTGTTCCCTTGTTGTTTTTGGTGTTTTAGTTGGTTGTTAATTCAGTTTATAACCTGTTTGAAGTAAATAAGTGCAATCTTGATTTTCGATTTTTTTTTTTTTTTTTTTTTTTTTTTTTTTTTGCTGTTACATACTGAAGTTTCCAGACTGTGGCAGTACTGAGAGTTTAAACGGACTGCTAACATGAGATTGCTGTATTATAATATTTAAAAAAAGTGAAAATGCTGATTGTTCTTTTTCAGAATATGAAACTGGAGAATAAAAGGAAATCTGAGGAGCTTGAGTGTTCCGAGTGGTTTCTTCTAATTCACCTCGGTTAATTATTTTTTTCTGAAAATATATATATATATATATATATATCAAAAAATTCTCTCGAGGGAAGAGAATTGGGTAAATCTAGCATTCCTTCCCTTATTCACTAATGGATCCTCTGCAGTGAATGGGTGCTGTCAGAATGAGTCCAAAAAGTCACAATCCACAGCACTCCAGTTCATCAGTTAACATCTTGAAAAGTGAAAAGCTGTTTGTAATAGTTCACGCTCTGCAAAAATATTGCTTTCTGTGAG